CTCTGGCACCAGTTAAAATGGAGCCCCAGCATTGTGATCAACCTTCGTTTTTGCAGCAACAACAATTCCTCCAAATGTCGAGACAATCTTCTCAGGCAGCTGCTGCTCAGATCAATCTTTTGAACCATCACAGGCTTTTACAGTTTCAACAACACCAGCAGCAACAACTTTTAAAGTCAATGCCTCAACAACGGTCTCAATTACCACAACAATTTCAACAGCAGAATATGCCTGTGAGGTCTCCTGTGAAACCGGCATATGAACCAGGGATGTGTGCAAGGCGGCTGACACACTACATGTATCAGCAACAACATAGACCAGAGGTAATAATTTGTCTATATATATATATGGCTTTATTCTGTGTGTCTATCATATACTCTATTAATAATAACTTTTGCACTTGGCTTTTTTATAGGATAACAACATTGAGTTTTGGAGGAAGTTTGTTGCTGAGTATTTTGCTCCTAATGCTAAGAAGAAGTGGTGTGTCTCTATGTATGGAAGTAGCAGACAAACAACTGGAGTTTTCCCTCAGGTCCGTTACCAAAGAAAGCCTTACAATCCAGTTCTAATACCTGGATAATCATGTCTAAGTTCGTAACTTAATTATTGAATGGTGTGCCTAACTGTACTATGCCCTAGTATTAGTATCTTGATTTTATTTTTGTGATTGCCAAATTGTTATGTCCCAGGACCAAGTAACTAATACCTACCGTATTGTCTTAAATGTTGCCATGGATATGCTTTGGTATTCAAGAAGCCAACTATAGTAGTCTCGTTGATGCTATGCATTAGTTTTAGCTAAATATGGATTCTTTAAATATTTTCAGGATGTATGGCACTGCGAAATATGTAATCGCAAACCTGGCCGTGGGTTTGGTAAGTTTTATTTTCTTGAGGTTTTTTTTCTGCATGTCATTATTCAGTCTATTTCTATTCTTCACCATATGAATGTTGGCCTCTTCACTTTTTCTATAGAATATATCTGTTATGGATTTGTTGCAAATGTCATTCTGTTGCACTATTCTAACTGCTTATATTTTTTCTGGGTTTTCAGAAGCAACTGTTGAGGTTCTTCCCAGGCTTTTCAAGATAAAGTATGAAAGTGGCACTCTGGAAGAGCTACTTTATGTTGACATGCCCCGTGAATATCATAATTCCTCTGGCCAGATTGTTCTAGACTATGCAAAAGCAATACAAGAAAGTGTTTTTGAGCAACTTCGTGTTGTTCGTGATGGTCAACTTCGAATAGTTTTCTCTCCAGACTTGAAGGTAGCGTACAGAAATCAAAACATTCAAATTATGTTGAAAATTGATTACATGTTATTATCATTGTTGGCATCCTCTATATGAAAAAAAGTTTAATCAACATTCTTTTGCAGATATGCTCTTGGGAATTTTGTGCTCGGCGCCATGAAGAGCTCATCCCCAGAAGACTGTTAATACCCCAGGTTGCTGATTAAGTTGTTGCATCATAAATGCCTGTGACTATAAAGAATACGTTAACTGTTTGTTTTAAGTATATTGTAAGTTTTGAGATTGTTATTTTATAAGATACTTGCCATGGATTTAATAATCCTTGATTTTGTTGATAGTTATTATGTTATGATTTTGCGAGGTATACCTTTTTGTAATGCCGGTGTTAAATTGTAGATATGTTAATGGAGCAGAGTTTGGCTATATAGTAACATATACACCCTGGTTATTCATTCTTATTATTACTTCATTTTTATTATCCACAGATTAGTCAGATTGGAGCGGTTGCCCAGAAATACCAGGCTTTAACTCAAAATGCAACACCCAATATTTCTGCTCCAGAGTTACAAAATAATTGCAATATGTAAGTCCCTTTAGCTAAACATGTCAAAATTCTTGCTAAAGCCAGTTTTCTTTATAACTAGAATATGTTCCCGATAATTATGATGCAACTTCCTTGTTCCGGGAGCATGGAATGAGCCATGGCTTATTTCCTCTTGATTAAGGATTTAATGCAATTGTTTCACAATGCTCACCTCTTCTTTTTGGTGGTTCACCATCGTGTATACAATAGACCTGTTTGCTGGTATTTATTTGATTTCTCAGTGATGCTACAGTTTAGCTTGCAAGAGTCCTCTCTCTTGATCTCTATTTGGTCTAACCTAATTAGGGTTGCTTTTTGTTGTATGTTTCTCTTAGAATTTGGGTTGCGCCTAACTCATCCTTACAAAACCGGTTTGTGAGGTGAGGATTGCCCCCTCTTATAAACACAACACATGCCATTATCTCTTAGCAATGTGAGACTAAATCCACCCCTTCAAATCCAACACAGTGAAGGTGTTGGGGGCTGCAATGAAGGCAAGCTAAATGTCGCAATTAAGGCGACTAGAGGTGGATTGCAGTTAAGGCGGAAATTCCAACCGTTTCTGTTTTTCTTTTAATAACGCTCCTTTTCCAGGTTTGTTGCGTCAGCTCGTCAATTGGCTAAAGCCCTAGAAGTTCCATTAGTTAATGATTTAGGATATACAAAGACATATGTGCGCTGCCTACAGGTATGTTTCATTTTTATGACATTGCTTATAGTATTATTTTGATCTTAAGTATACACATTAACGAGAAAATATGCATCTCTTTCCTTTTAATGTTTAAAGCGACATTTGGTTTGTGTGGAACTGCCATATCTTATATGGCGCCATCACAAACCTTATTTGAAATGCTTATATGGGATATTTGCGAACAAATCACCCCAGTCGTCCTTGCTTGTTTTGAATAGGGAATCCTTGCTTGGGTTTCTATGGCTTAACATGATTGCAAAATATAACAGTCTCTCTCTGCATACTACATTTTCCTGAATCAATCTCTTAACAGGGTCTTCTCTCAAGAGAGGACTTGTCTTTTTGTATTTTTTTGTGGTGAGTGACTGTCATGGAATACACACATCAGGAATTCTTGCCATTTGTACAAAAAGAGAAAGACGAATCCCTCTTTTCTTATTATTGTTTTTTTGCCTCATGGTGCAGCATAGTTTTTTCCTTAGGAGCTAAGCTATAGGGTTATTTTTTCCCAATGAACTCCACTGTGGAAACATAACAAACTTTGTTGTTTACTGTTTATGATGCAGATATCAGAAGTGGTAAATAGCCTGAAAGACTTGATAAATTACAGTAGAGAAACGGTGACCGGACCTATGGGTAAGTTAATAGTTTAAGTGGCTGATTTCTAATGCTAATATAGATATGAACGTGACAATTAAACACTGTTTTATTTAGAGTGTTCGACAGTGTGTTTGACCTGATCTCTGTCGTGGGTGTGTGTGTTTCATTGTTATATTCATAAGTATTGCCAGATGTTTGATCGTTTTGATAGGGATTGTGAGTTAATTATTTTGCTTTATTTTTTACCTTCTTTCAGAGAGCTTGGCCAAGTTCCCTCGGAGAACAGTTAATTCATGTGGAGTTCGTAATCAAGCGCAAGAGCATGAAGATCAATTAAAACTACAGCAGCAGCAGCAGCAAATGATGGCCCATAACTCAAATGGAGATCAAAATCCAGTGCAAGCTGCTGGCATGCAAATTGCATCCAGCAATGGTATGGTTAGTGTAAACAGTTCTGTCAACTCAGCGTCTGCATCAACAACCACAAGCACTATTGTTGGGCTTCTCCACCAAAACTCTGTGAACTCTAGACAAAATACAATGAACAATGCAAGCAGTCCGTATGGAGGTTGTTCTGTTCAGATTCCATCTCCAGGTTCCTCCAGTACTGTTCCACAGGCCCAGCCAAACTCATCCCCTTTTCAGTCACCAGCGACACCATCCTCATCTAATAACCCCCCACAAACACCTCGTTCTACTTTAACGCCTCCCAATCAAATGAATACAACAAATCCAACGGCTAATATTCCACTCCAACAACAACATCAATATCAATCATCTCTTTCTGGTGATGCTGACCCAAGTGATGCTCAAAGCTCAGTCCAGAAAATCATACAGGAGATGATGATGTCCTCGCAGATGAATGGTACTGGAGGAATGGCAGGTTCTGGTTCTCTAGGAAATGACTTGAAGAATGTAAGCAATATTCTGCCAATGAGTGCGAATACAGGGCTCAATAATGGTAACGGCACCGTGAACAATAATCCAGGTGCCAGTAGTTATGGAACAATGGGGTTCAGTCAATCCACTATGCCTAATGGAATGAGAGCTGCTATGGTTAATAATTCAATCATGAATGGAAGGGGAGGAATGTCATCCATTGCGCGGGATCAAGCTATGAATCATCAACAAGATCTGTCAAACCAATTGCTAAGTGGTCTAGGAGCAGCAAACAGTTTTAATAATCTTCAATTTGATTGAAAATCTTCTCCATGGTGTGGTTTTTGACATCTGCTTGTTCAACATTATGAGCAATCATAGAATTGCATTCTGTAGAAGATTTCAGCAGAATGCAATTGAATAGTGATAGGGGCCGATATAGGATTTTATATATAAGAATTTAGAAATGAAAGTTTGATGGCTGGTTGTGTGGCTTATGGGGCTAATTTTTTCTTGTGAATTCAAGTGTAACTTTGTACTTCATTTCTGTACTGTCATGGTTTTTTTTACAGACTCGCCATTGATAAACGCACATAATCGAGAAAGGAAACAAGTTTTGTCCTACAAAATTAACCTGTTGTGTTCTTGAGAGTAATTAGATATCATCCCAAGCAATCATCAATTTGAAAGTAAACACCATTCAAACATTGAAAGAAGTCTGTTTATCCAATGTAAACTTTACAAAATGATGAAAAACAAAAGAAATATACAAGGATTATTCAATGTGTTGAATCCATAGATTGAAACATAACCCTTACATATAGTGATGATAAAGATACAAACTACCTTTGCCTTGTAAGACATGGAAAAAAGAATGGGATAAAATGAAAATCAGCAATGTCACTATTGTCATTTCTTCCATCCCATTCCATCCATTTCTGATATTATAATGCATGTCAAAAGAGTATATTTTTTTTCTCAGTTCATGCATTAAATATACTTCTCCACTTTTTCAGACAGAGTAGCCTTAGGAACTGCACCAATTACACTGTCTTTTTTCTCTCCATTCTTGAAAAACAGAACAGTTGGTATGCTTCTGATTCCATACTTTGTTGCAGTGTTTGGAGATTCATCTGTGTTGAGCTTGTAGCACTTAATTTTTCCAGCATACTCTTTGGCTAATTCATCGATTATAGGCGCTATCATTCTGCATGGACCACACCATGGTGCCCAAAAATCTACAAGCACAGGTGTTTCACTTCCAATCACAAGTTCATCCCAGCTTGAGTCATTCACTACTTGAACTGCCAAATTTGAGCAAAGTACATGAGTTACTTCATTGCACACATACACTTACATCACACACAGCGTCCTCTTTCAGGACGTGCAAGATGAGCAAAGTCCATATTTGTCAGAGTTAAACCATAGATAAATAGAATATCATACAATATTTGTCACCGCTAAAGTGTATCTAAATAAGGCTCCTAGGCCCTCTAAAATCTTAAGACGACCCAACGACAGACAGGTAAAATCCAGATATTATAGCAGTACAAATATTGCGAAGATAAGGTTTATGTCTATCTAGCCACAATATTCTGATGAAATTTTTGATGCTAAACTATTGATAATGGAAAGCAAAAACCAGAAAACAAGGTGAGAAAAGTGTACCTTCATTTACAGCTTCACGAGCATTGCAAACAAAGCGTGATTTTCTATAAGCAACACCAGATGGAAGTGAAACTGTTGAGTTCAGTACAGATTTCTTGAATCCTACTTTTTGAGGTGAGAAAACAAGCTTTTCCCTTGAAGATGAAAACAATGGAGGAAGACAATGAGGTCTTGGTGTGGATACTCTTAAACAACTCTCAAGGGCCATGTTATTTTTTGTGTATGTAACTCTACTGAATAGTTTGTGGAAAATGAAGTGAGGGTTTTCAGCACTTGTTGTGGATAAGCTTCTAGTGTTGTGGTGGTTTTTAATTTGTTTGGTATGATGAAATTGTGAAGTGTGTTTGTAAGTGGATATTATTTGAGATTGTGAGGTTATCAGATGGCTTGGATTCATGTGGATGTTATTTAGGTTTTCAAACCTCTCTCTACTTTTGTCCCACTAAAAAGTACTTGTACACATCATATAAAATTCTTCTTTTTTTGGGGGGTTTTGTTTCACATTTTAGTGCGGAGGTGTAAGTAAAACTTTAAAAATTAGATTTAAAAATAGAGATCAAGTTTAGAAACGCTTTATGCGAGCTTAATGAATAGTTTATTGACTATTTGAATTTAATTATTTAGTTGAAATTCATTAACTTTAGGATCTACGTTTGAAATGTTTGATCATGTTGTTCTTGTTAATTTTATATGGTAAATTGGTGATGGTTTGTTGATTTATTGGGCATTGTTTATTGTAGCACATACATTACTCATCCATCCTAACGAAATTTTTGAAAATTGAAACCTGAATGCACTATAAACATAACAAATTGAATCTCTGCAACATGCGAAATAAAAGTAAAAAATAAGTCAGGAGATTGAAATCCAGATTCACCTTAACCACAACAAACTCAATATTAAAAACACGTCAAATACAACTGAAAAATAAATTTAGAGATTGAAATTCATATTCAACTTCAGATATTAATATCTTGACACATTCATTTAGGTGTGCACATACAGGATTTTCCTCCACATTCCATTACATTTGAAACCAACTTGTTAACTTCTCTCAAGAGCATAACAAAACTCTCACTCATTTGTATCACACATTTTTTCAACCTTACTCTCAATATCTACTTATATTCATTCAAACCAAGCACTTCATTAATTTCTACTCCTTTAAATTAAGCACATTCATCTCTCATATTTGGTAAGTTTTTTCTATCCTAACCTTTTAATTTTTTATACTTGCAAATCCTTAATAACTTAATAGGTTATAGTTAAGATACATTAGATTACATAAAATAGAAATGTAATTCCTACTTAAATTTGGTATGAATCTAGGACAATTGAGGGTTAAGGTTGATGTTTGGTCTGATTTTTACTCTAGTGTAATTTAGATTTCAAAATCTAGACCCTTAATACAAATAACATAATCTGAATTTCTCTAATTGTTTTTATGTTTCTTACTTCTATTAGTTTATACATTGTTTCCACTTCTTTGATTATAGAAATATGGATGACGAGCAACAACGATACAAATATGGTCATATATATATATATATATATATATATATATATATATATATATATATATATATATATATATATATATATATATATATATATATATATATATATATATATATATATATATATATATATATATATATATATATATATATATATATATATATATATATATATATATATATATATATATATATATATATATATATATATATATATCGAACAACAATGAATAAATGATATTTTCTAAAACATTATTTTCTTTATGATTATGCATAGCTATAGAGACTCTGGGTATGACAAAGAATATCGATGCCCAGAGCACCTAAAGTCAGGGGTGCTGTCGGAGACATTTTATACGTCTAGATAAAGCAATTAATCCCCCACATACAATAATAATTCTTCGTTGCCCAGCAGCTAGCGATAAATGGTATTTGCGTCGTTCTTTCTAGTTATTTTTCTTTAGTATTTTACCGCATTTTGTTCAATTTCCTTTCATTTGTCATATTTTATGATTTGGTTTGTGTTTTCATGTGAATTCTAGGATCTAATGAGCATCCAAGACAAAGAGGGATCAAATGCAAGTAAAATGGAGCAAAATGACATTTTGGAACTTTCTCCCATACAAAAACCAAGAGGTTGTTACGGCCACTTGTAGCAGCTGCTACGAACCGTAGTAGCATGATGTCCTAGCTCATATTTAAAGCCTCCTTTGGTACAAGAAACAAGGACCTTCTACGGCAACCCATAGTAGCTACTACAATCCGTAGCAGAGAGGCGAGAGAAAAGTCGAGATTTATTTCCGCTTCCATAAATATAATGATTCACTCTTAATTGTGCCTCTTAGGTGTGATTGAATATATATATCAAATATAAACATTTCACATTGAACAAAAGATTTTTAGCACTTTTATTATTTTCCTATAATACTCATAGCATGGGATAAGTTTAGGGTTCTCAAATTTTGTCACTTTTCATTCCTAGTTTTTATTCTATTTTCTATGTAACTCAAGTCTCCTAAGGAGCAACTTGTGGAATAGGGTTTATGCATATTTCAGGTTTTATAATGCATTCTCTTTATATTATTCATGTGTATTGCTTGATTGATATAAGTTTGATAATGAATACCTCTATGATTGTATTTGCCCTCACCCACCATGAATGAGTAGTTTCTTAAGGACTATGGGTTATGGTGATTGTTACATGACCTATTATATGATATGTTACTATCGACTGTGAGAATTTTAATTAAGTTGCTCTCAAGTATCGATCGTAGTCTGAAAGGATATGTGTTTATACCAGAGGATAGATTTTCAAAGAACCTAATTCGAACGATGTGAAACCCAATGGAAGAATTTGAGAAAACATATAGGTAGGCAAAAGTAATGAATCATCGAATAATAATCCGGGCGATGCGAAAGCCGACAGATTATTCGTCGATGATATAGGCAATGTGCTAGCGAAAGTAGGTACTTGTTGAAAAGTATTTTTTTGGGGTGTTTTATCGTATCCACAGAGATTGTACGCAAGATATGTCAATGCTAGCCGTTCAATAGTTTAACGTTCTAAGTAAGAGTTTTCAAAAGATTGCTTGTTTTATAACATAAGTTTGTTGCAAAGAGTAAATTAGGGCAAAGATGTTTTGTTTCAAAGAAAAGCATGTCAAGATTAGATTTCATTAATCCTTTTTAAACGTATCTGATTAATTAAGCATGTGAACTTAGTTTCAATCAATACAATCACGTATCCTCGCGAATCCGTTCATTTTTAAAGCGGGTCCGTGAATATTATTGTTTTAATCGCTAGATGATTTCTCTAAATAGCAACCAAAATGATAAACATAAAGATCAATACAAAGCGGATATTAACTTCCAAATCTATGTCTAGAGTTTGTTGGTTAATAGATGAAGAAATTAGATAAAGACTTGGAAAATCTATGTCTAGAGTGATTCAAACCATAAATACATCATTAAAAGAAAATATCTTCATCATCTATTGATCATAACCTTGCTTACATACAAAAGATCAAAAGAAATAAATAAAAGCAAGATTAACTACCTCTAATCTTGACACAAAAGTGTTTAGCTACCTGTCACCATGGTAGCTTGATTACAAGTAAGAAAAGAAGTTTTGCTAGCATCAGAGTTGAAGAATCGAGGATTGATGCTCCAAAGATTTAATTCTCACATCTCCTTGAGTTTCTAAGGTTTTTTGACCTAGAAAACCCTTTCTCTTTCTCTAAAATGCAGAAAAGTGTGAAAAAGTACAAGTGTTGGTAAAATATCTTCCAAGTGAGATATTTATAGACAAGGTCACTTAGTGCAGTAAGTGGCACCGCGCTAAGCGTCCTCAGAGGCATGACATGCTCTGGTCGATGTGTGGTCCAATTTTTTTGCACAATCAGGTATATGGGTAAGCTCATATCGACCCCCTTACTGCATAGGTCGACCGCTCGCTGTGTTAGGTCAAAATTCTGTTATGTAAAACAGTTTTGGGAGTCTGTTATGTTTGTTAAGTTAGTTGTGTCTTGTATATAAAGTGAGTTGTGTTATTCCTTTCACGTCAACTAACAAAACAAGAAAAGTGAAATTTACGTGTCGATATATTCTCATCATCTTCATCCTCTTCATAGCATTTCACAACAACTACACATAATCATTTTTGTTGTGTATTATGCATGTTCGAGGTGATAACATCCAAAGCCTAGGATTGGTGTAATCTGGTTTGGGTTGAGTAATCGGAAGGTTTTTCTTGAATAAAACAGTTAGAGTTTTGTCCTCCAAGAATCTCGGATTTTGGGGGTTTTTGCACGAATCGGTCCATCACAGATTCAGTCGAGCGAAGGTAATCGAAGAGCGGGAGGTTCTGTTGGTTTAGTAGCGGTAAACGGAGGATTGTGAGTGGAAAATTCGGGTTTAACACGTGGGTGACTGAAATCCGCCGGACCAGATTTGAAGACCGTGGGGTTGTTCAAAGAGAGTGTCGTATTCGGAGGTTTACTCACCATGTTCGAAGGACTTGATTCAACTTGAATCAAGGGGCATGAAGAAATAGGCTCTACAACAACAAATTGTGTTCGATTGTTTGATCTCTATTTGCTTCTTGTAAAAACATTGACCAACAGGTTATATCTATCTATATACAAGTCTCAATTCTATTTTTAGAATTGAGGGCAGATGTACCCCGAGCGAGGACGACGGGGGAACTGCCTCAACAAATCGTTGTCTTTTTCTTTACATTTATATTGCTAAAATTCTGAGTTTCTAGTGCAAACGATTGTGTCAATCAAATTTTGATTCGAGTTGTGCTGAACTATTTTAAAGATAATTACAATCATTAATTGTAATAGAAAACTTGAGAACTCTACTCTCAAAATAGAATTCACTTGTAGTGCCTTGCACTCTAAGTGTTTGATCAATTGTGTGAACTAAAAACAATTGTGTTGTCTTTTCAAATTGTCTATGTTTTAAAGGCATTGAAACTAGTCGCACCTTATAGTGAACAAGATCTGATTGAAGTGTGATTAAAGTAGTGATTCTTAAATCTAGTTTATCGAATTCCATAGGCTTTACGCATATCCGGTTTTTTGGTAACTGTTCGTTTTAGACGAGTATAGTTCCTCGGTCGCTTCCGCCTTAAACATTTTTAAAAACCAATTTTTGGTAGCACCGACTCTGGTTTAAATAAGCAATC